AAAAAAGTGACGCTTGGCGGGACATCGCTATGAGCTTCTGGGATTATTTGTCCGATAGCCTGTTTTGAAAATCGAAACAGGCATTGAAGGCTTGCATAGAAATCCCCTGTCGCCAAGAATCGTATAGTCACTACTAACCTGGGATATCGATATACACAGATTGTCAAAGAATAGTGTGGTTTAAATTTTGTTTCTTACACAATTACATTCTTCACTGGATAAATTCAGTTTGTTAGCAGTACAAATGAGTAAATACAGACCCATCTTGAATTGAGATTGGTTCTCGCATGTTGGTGGGCCTTTTTCCGATCTTTGGTCCGATTTTCATCAATAAATCTTCAAAGTTGGTGGGACTCATCCGAGTGCAGTTTTTATATTGGCCGCTTATTTCTTGACATTTGAGAGCTCTCATCAAGTCATTACCTGCCCGTTTTTATACACTTCCCTACACCACCATCGTCAAGGTCCACGTTGCTGCTTTTGAAAAATGTATGCTATAACTACCGCAGCACCACCGCAGGCAAGCAAAGCTTCATTGTCTTCCATGGTCGTGTGCGCTCTGATTGTCGTTCACGGACGTTTGTAGTGTGAAGAGCGGTCAAGAAGTCAAGAAGGTCAAGAGCGTCAAGAGGGCAAGAGTACTTTCGGCTGTTACATAAAATGAGTAAGAGAAAGTGAGAGCTGTCTTTGTAAACTGCGCCTTTAATTGCTTCCAACATAAAGGGGCAACTGTGATGACCAAATATCCTTTGAAATTATATCGCGCAGGAGCGTCATGGAAGCAAAAGCTGGCACGAACGGTGCGTTCAGTAGCACCGTCCAGATGGAAGTAGCTGTGAGCCATTTGGTCATCACTGAAACGTTCAACGAAGGCGTAAAGAATCACGTTACAATAACGTTCCGCGTTGATAGTGTCATCGAAGAATATGTGGCAGATTATTCGATTTCATGATTTGGTGCACCACACACCAACCTTCTGATCTGTAATGATGTATTGTATGCTTGTTCTCATGCGGATTAGTTGCTGACCAAATGTGATTTTTCGGTCCTTACAGCTGTTGACGTAACTGGTAGAATGAAACCACGCCCAACCGATAAAAAAGGTGACGTCCACAGTATCCTCTCCTTGGGCACTAATTGGCTTATTATATATAACGCAATGTAATTCGTTAAAAGTCAACCCATGTTTCAGAGTAACATGTCGCCTCCATCTTCAGAGTTCGAGAATAGGCTGAACTAGACAGCAGCATGAAGCAGGCAGGAAAGAGTGCTCTGCTTGTTGCCTGGTCAGCTTACTCGTCTCCCTTCTTAACAAAAGAATTTTCAACACCAGAAGATGTAATAAAAATTGTTTCTAGTAATGAACAAAACATGGAGGAACAAATTCACGAACTTATATTGCAATACCTTTATTTTTAAGTTTCATAGTTGAAAATCATATTTTATTAAGGTTGGGAATGAAGGCAAATAACTGACTAGTAGACCTATAGACAGTATCATGTTACACTGCAGGAAGTGCGGTTCATGCATAGGGGTTTATTTACGATTTCTCAGTAGCAGGCAGTAGTTATGAGAACCATGAGCCATTTGTTGCAGTTAACAGTTAGTTAGCAATTTGGTATGACATGATTCGTTCCGCAACCTTTTTCTACTCGGGCCACACCATGAAGTATCCATGACTCAACACGGCACACCAAAATGTTATTCCCCTCAAAAACGCATGATATCAGACAATTAACATAAATACGTAACGTGATCAACTTATTACTATAATATTATTATGTGATACTTGTGCCTGCATAGCTGCACAGAGGCAACTGATCCGTGGTGGAATCGTTGACAGCGCAAGTCTCATTTCTTCATCGATGGATTTGAGCCGCTCCCTCTTTGATGTCTTAATTTCAGTTAACATCGAGAAGCACAGTTCACACAAATATGTAGTTGAAAATGGCAATAACACATTAACTGCCATCTCGGAGATAGCCAGGTATCCACTCCTTATTGCCAACTAAAACGTATCTAAAGTCACTTTGAGAAGTTTTAGTTTCAATGTTCTGTCTACTTTTAAATCTGTGAGTTCCTCTTGTATATTAATCGGAAGATGTTCTGAATTCACAACAAATGGATCACGAACGCAGTCAAAATCTTGTACTCTCTCTCCAAAATACTTATTGACTTCCTGCTGCAGCATTTCTAAATGTTCTTTAATTGTATCCATCACCACTTTATTGCCGTCAGCAAGTGGCCATACAGTCGGGGACATCAAAAACGACCCATCTGTAATTCACTAACTAGCAACCAAAATTTGCAAACTACTTCAGAGCACAGCTGTGATAGAACTGAAACAATTGTAAAATGCAGGATCTCTACTCTTCAAACGGAAGCAGTGACACTATACCGACATTTTTGAAATATTTATAATTTTAAATGAAGTCCAACAATCGGTGGGTGCATCGTTACAGGAAGAAAGTCATAAAGAAGCTCTAACTTCCAACAAACAGGGGCAAATACCAGCAACTTTCTCGATGGCGAACATGGTGGTGCTCGGTGCATTCAGAGGTCTGTTGGTCAACCGGCTCCCTATTGCCTGCCGCCTAAGTGTAGCGGTTCCCCCTGGAGGATGGACCGTTTATCTAACTTGAAGCACTTGTTCCGACTACAAGAAGAGGTGCTTTCATTTCCATTGTATAACCCTTAAATACTGTATATTTTCCTCAGGCACATTGTAACAGAATTTACAATTTGACAATCATCCTCCTTTGTCATCTTTTGCTTTCTAAACTAACAAGTGATTACTTGACACCGTGCAGACGTCATAGGATATGTGATTCACCTACTCGTGACATTTGTTCCAAGCTTCAGTTTTAGTAATATTATCCATCATGACCACATTCATCGTTAGCCTTACTGTGTAGGAAGTCAATGTGGTCTGACTTCCAACTTTACTCACTCTCTGTTTTTCCCGTCCACATCCTACATCCTGTGGTCTGGTTACAGTTCATACAATTTGCTTGTATACTCATGTGATTAATTAAATGATTAATATTTGCCAATATACAGTCAATACATATTCCTCAATATCCTTATTCCTTTAAGGTAACATCAATATATAGTATACATGTCAGGTGATGTCATTTCATAACAACTGTATATAAAAATCACAGCATGTAATAAAGAATAAACAAGCATCATCTTATTTAATCAGTGCAGTGTCTGAGAATAAAATACAAGCATATGAAACATGGTAACTTGGATAAAATAAAACGAATAAAATTCGACAATTAATTTCTTACAATAGGTAAAAGTTCATGTCACACCTTTCACCTTGTGACGGCACACATGTTGCAGAACACTGCTTTAGAGGAATGTGTGTGCCTGTATGACACCTATGTGAAATACAAATATGCTGGAAAATGTCAGCGAAAATTTAGCAATGAAAGACTTCCCAGCAGACAAACAATTTATAATTTTGTGAATAAACTTTGAACAATGGTACTCTTTTAATAGACAAGAAAACAAAACATTAGTGTCAAGTGCTTACTAAGGAGAAGTGATCCTTGTGATATTTTTCTTCTGGGGTTTCATGGAGGACAGAGTTTACAGAGTAACCCTCAAACGTGGGGACTGAAAGAAACCACTCATAGGGAAATTCCCAATATTCCTGCAGAGAATCTTCAGAAAGTAAATCGAAACCTCTTCCGCTGGTGTGAGGAATGTCTACATGTAGATGGACAGCCCTTCATTCCAAATGTTATCAGCATGCTGAGTCACTGGCAAAATATGCTTTCACTCCGTGGCCAGTGGTGCACTGGTTGCAGTGAACCATGGAGCCATGAACACGTCAAGTTCATTAAAAACCACCCTGTACTCTCCTTTACAGTAACTTGTTCAGCACTCCCTAGGACTTTTCTACTGATCTGAAGTGTTACACGGTTGTTAAGAGTAAATCGGTACAGTGACTAGGCTAAAGGGTGGACAACCAAGGAATTGTGGATTGATTCCAGACGGGCAAGAGAACAGTTTTGTAGCTGCTCCCTCTCCACTTGAGGTCTGAATTGACACTCAGCCACGAGTTGAGAGACACTTTTGTAGTGAAACTACTATACTATGTTGGTGATGCCTCTCTGCTAAGGCCCACACTTAAGGTGGAGAAGGCTTTACAACAGAATCACTTTGCTTACCTCTATGCACTTTCACTCGCATAGAAGACACTTTTAGTGATCTGCTCCACACCTTCCCTATTAGTAATAGTTGCAAAGGTGGATTTAGGTAGGTGGTATTGGAGGTTGGGTGGCAGTAAGCTGGCACAGCCATCTGCAGTAAGGATAGTGTCTCCAGGTGAAAGCAGAAGTTGGGGCAGTCATCTACTCAGTATAGTAGAGGTGAATTCTGTCACAATGTCTTATCAGGCCTCACTCAAACAGAACTAGGTTAATCCTCATCACCATAGAGTAATATCTCTTCGAGGTGACTTTTATATGTAGTTACTTTTATTCACACACACTTAAAACACTTAAACTAGCTGAATCAGGTTAACACTGATATTGGTTTCACTTTGATAATATTACGATATTATGTTACAAGTCGAAGTTACACCATTTAGCATAATTTACTGTCAGAAGATTATTCTGTGTTTAGGCATTATATATTTCCATCACACATTATACTTTGCTGTCTTTATCTTCGAAATTACAAGCTGTAGATTTCACCTCCATCTTATCCCTGAAAACAAAGCTATAATGTTTCAGAACACTGTAAACAAAGATAAAGAGTGTCACGTAACTTCGAACAAGGCCCCACATTCCTAGTCAAATCCCATGCATAGCTTGTGGTGGGAGGAGTTTCTTAACACTTGTTCTTCTACTTTCACCGACTCGAACCCATCCCGTTGTCTGAAATTTTTCTTCTGCGCATTGAAGGTTATTCTTGGCCTTGTTCGAAGTTACGTGACACTTGCTATACTGATGTTCTGGCCATACACTTATCAGAAAAAAATACAGTAAACTTCAAATCATTTATTCTGTTATAAATTACATTTTTAAAAATTAATTACAAGGTAATTTTGGAATGCTGAAGAGAGTCTTGCATACACAATCTTTACAACAAACCAAATACCATATAGTATTTGTATTTACATACATTAAAAGCCACCTAGAGGCTGAAATATGATTGTTGACATAATGGTACAGGGAAAATTACGTTACATAGAGGTAATTTTACAGAATAAATTAATTTATATTTAAAAACACCTCCAATGATCAGACATTCATAGACATTTAAAATGACACTCTTAAGTGCTCAATAAATCAATACTTGGTGAGTGATAGCACTAACAGACAAATAATGATAGACTCCCATTTTTCCTCTTTTTTTCATATTGAAATGAACTTTGACAAGGTTCATTAATCACGATTAAACTGGAGTCTAAACATAGATTTTATATTGGCACCAAGATTTGTTACAAAGATTACCTTAACAAAGTTGCATATTTTCTGAAGATACACGACATACCCAAGTTACATTTCAAAACTTTGTGTGGAACTCGATTTCCCACAGATATAATCTTATAAATGGTGGTTACATTCCTAAGCCAACCCACGACAGCCTACTAACTCACAAGAAAACTCATACATAGCACATTTAAAAATAATAAAAGAAATGAAACAATACTGTTGTAATACCAGTGTTAAAAGAAATCAGCAAAATGTACAGACCAACTGTTGCTGTTATTAATATTGTTAATTCAATGTTGGCACCGCCTTACTGGAATATGCAGACCAATAAGGAATGCAAAGTTGCAAAGAACACATTTGGCAACTCTAATGTACCACAAAGTTACTTATCCAAATCATGTGCATTCCAGGAGTGCAGGACCATAATGGATGCCTCAGCATTACCCTAAGCTGTGGTACCAGTGGCAATCCTACATAAAGGTTCTGTTCTCATTATTTCACTGGCATGCTTGTTAAGCTAAAGATTTCAAAGAGCTGTACCAGTCAAAGTTTTCACACATGGGTTGATTTCCACTGCAAGACCAATTGGTTCAAGATATAGAACTCACATTTTTATTAAGGCTATTTTGCAATTAATTTAACAATGCCTTCTCAACTACAGAGCTCATGTATATCACATTCTACTAAGTTTATGATCAGTCAAATGGGAGGATATGGAAAGAAGTGGTCATGGCATATCTGAAGATAAAATGATCTGAAGATCAAAAACCAGCATGTTAGTAAGCAGCTGAGGAAAGCCTCAAATAGCCTGCCTCCAGAACACGAATCAATCCTACAGCCTTGTGAATATAAAGCAGGAGTTCAGTCACTTGACTACAATGTCCATTAAAAAATGTGCCAAATCTTACCTATCAGTATAATAAGTGCATAAGATGAAGCAATTATGCTAAAAAGTAAAACGATATTGTAGCATATTGGTCTTTGACATTAACCAAAAGTACCTTATTCTTGTTCTGCCCTTATTTTTTTTACCCTTTCTTGTGGTTATATTTAAATTCATGTGCCAGGTACTGAACAGACTGTAAATAATTCATCATCCATTCAGGTGCACTTCCTTACAGACAATCCCAATACATAATGAACAGTCACTGTGCCTACCTCACATTTGTAGGAATGTCTACTGTGATTAATGGCAGTGCTCAATATACTTAAGATGAACACCCTGTGATCCCTCATTACATAAATAAAACAAAACTACAGTAACCACTACTTAAAACAGAACCAGAATTACACAGAAACCTGCATTTATTATAAGATTTCTCCAATACCAAGAATGTAGAGTGGAAATGAACAGCTTGCTTATTAGACTTACTCTTTGCCCTGGAAATGGAGGCAGTATATTTCTCTGTAATTTCAACGAACTTCTATCAGATTACATGGAATCACATCCCAGAAGATAGTACTCTTCATAAATAGATAAATAAATAAATATATAAATACATCATTACCATCACTGTTCTATTTGTTAAAGTTGTTGCAATAACATCTCACACATTCTACCATGTTCCTAAACAATGTTAACAGTTTTAGTTTTCTGTCACTCTTTTGATATACAGTGTGTATTGCTAGAGAATGACTAATGCTTGTTTTATAAAGCAAATTATGGATTACTCTGAAGTATTTATCTTCATTAAATGGAAAAGAAGGTTCAAGAAAAATATAAGAGTGCAGGTGAAATTGCTGAAGTTACAGACACTTTGAGAGCTTCAGTTTGTATATCAGGGATAATGTTTCTGCAATAAATTATGTACTTCCATTTCCTTGTGTAAAAGCAATGACTAGACTGATGACACTATTACAAAGACCTGTCTGTAACATGACAGTGTACTGACAATATGCTACACTCGTGATCTCTATATTGCCTGGACAGCATGCATTATCCTGTTAAAGGTTGCAATGCTGCTACATACATTACCAGATTAGCCACAGAAGTACTGAATTAAATATAACTTGTCAGACATGTGATTGGGTCAGTTGAGATTTCATTGTAAGCAGACTTCATTACATTGTCACATGTTAGTGACCAGACATGGGGTTTGGGTTGGTAAATGGATTTACTGAAGGGTCATAACTACAAATAATTACAGCACTACCACTAATCTACACGCTTAACAAATCGCTATAGCATACTCTGTCTTCATCTGTTATAGTCTTCATTAGCCATTGCTTAGTTATAGTTCCCAAAAATGGAGATTCTTCTGGTCTTGTGCTCATGTCATTGCTGGCTGGCTACCATCTCACAACTAACTCACTGACAGACTGCTAAACTACTGCTGGCCCTTGCCAGCACACTGATTCTTGGTTCTGAGTCTCATGGGACTCATGACCATGTATTGCTGTCTGACAGCTCTGGGAGACTTTAGACCACTCTACTTCTGACTGCTAAGTTGCTCCTGGCCCTCACCAACACAGTGATTATTTGTTCTGAATCCCACGGGACTCATGACCATATTTTACTGTTGGCTGTAGGAGCCTTCGGAACACTCTGCCTCGGTGGGTCAGTTAAATTGCTGCTGGCCTTCACAAGCACAGTTACTCCTAGCTTCAGTCTCCTCGAGATCTATGACCAAGATTTTTATTCTCTCCTAGACACGTACGTGTTTTGAAATGGGGCTTCCTCTTCAATGAAGGAAAGGTAGGTCTTTCTATGTAGGCACTATGTCTGCTGCACTGTAGTTTCAGCACAAGTATATCCATAATGTCATAGCATCCAGGTCACTGTGCATTCTTTGTCACTGCACTACACTAGGTAACATTTATACAAAGCATACAGAGGTTTCCTGTCAACGAAGGCTTATGCAGCAGACTATGCCTTAACTTACATAACTACTCTGAAATTGTAGTTAGTCTGCTGAACAGCCATCTGACCGCCGCCAAGTTTAGGCCTCTTATATTTCCTATGACTGGCTTCTCCTTGTCCAGTACCACGTACACTTCGCTTTACATGGTTTAGGATTAATTCTGCCTGTTACCTGCATAATCTAGATATACAGTCACACACATAAGGAATTCTGAAAGCCACACGTAATTCTCGAACTGGTGTGCACCAGTCAAGATTTCCAGTAGCGCAGAGTGTTCTGTTCTGCAGGGGCTGCCGTTTCAAGAGGTAAGCATCTGCTGCATACTCCCAGGTGGACAGGCATAAGTCATAACTGACTAAAATCAGAGCTTTGTAAAGCATAAGCTTAATATTTGTACTTAAACACCCACTTTTAAATGGAGAATAGGTCCTTATGTATGTGTGCAAGGCTTTGGCTAGTCCTTTTGATATGGTGTCTCCATGTCATCCGGCTGAAAGTTACACTAAAATATGGTATACTATTTACACAGGGAACATCTCATCTGCTTAGTTGTCTTCTGAAGATATAGATCACCTGACTTATCACTTCATTGATCTTTATGTTCCAGCATTCACACCACTAATTTACCGCAGTGAGTCCACATTGCAGTTTGCAGAGAACACAACATTCATGTTACTCTGTCCCGTAAATATAGGTAACATCTGTAAACAGAGCAAGATGAGTTCCAGGTGTAGCAGGGGCATAATTTTTATATATAGACTGTATAATACTGGGACAAGAATGGAACCTTGAGGAACCCCCGCAGACAAGTTATATGTGCACACACTAGCACAATTATGGGCTACAGGTCATGCACCACAACTTTCATAGTCTCAAGAATCTGATGACTGATGCATTCATTTTGACTAAAAGCATGAGGAAGTGCAAATGAATGGAAGGTGACTTATCCACAAGTACATATGTATAGTCTTGTTCAATATGTAACAGCCCTACAGTGTTATCCCAGCTCAGATAATTTGCTTTGCTGCACTACTTAGAACATACTTCACTCAGATTTTTCAACCTCTGAAATTAAACAAAAGAACACACAAAATATAAACAATATGATCCACTGTTAAAATAAAATTCACTACTTACGTTCATGACAATGAACATCATTTAAAAAACTAAGAAATCAAAAACCAATATATGGCACCACAACTAGAGATGAAAAGAATTATCTCTAGACACATAAACAGTCCTCCTTCAGTGGGAGGTAATTTATGTACATGTTGACTTCGTATGTTCACACACTCAGTCTGTGATTCTGCTACACTGGCTACAAGCTGTGATTGTAATCCACACTGAAGGCAGAAATTTAAAATACACATTCCATAATCAAACTGATATGACCTCAATAGCATGTGATATAAAACATCATATGAATTTGAAGCACTTCTGTTTGTCGTGTGGAATTCTGGTCTTGAAGAGTATAGAATCTGCTCTAAACTGGGTATTGAGTAGTGGAGTGTACCCAAACACCTGGAAATGTTAATAATTATTAACAGAATGCAACAAAATCCAATAAGCTGTCTATACAATAATAATTACAGATAAAAGATTCATTTCCACACATGTTAATTGTGAAACAGGGATATACAATGACTTACTGTGGATTAAGAGGATGCCTTCAAACCCTACCATAAAATTTAAAGTACTTTATGGTCTAATTTTAAAAGCATAAAATAAATTTCATATACATATTTGTAGAGCCTGTGATAAGACATTACAATCTTTATACTTCTGCTGGATTCAAAAACACATCTCCCAAAAATCCAACAGACCTATGAAGCTAGTTGATATGTACAGTAATTAAAATACTGGATTAAAGATTCCTGCCCTTGTTTCAAGCAGACATTTGTATGAACTGCAATAAAACAAGAAAATATTTACAATAACATTGGGCTAACATATCTTTAAGGAGTTGGAAAACAGCTGAGGGTGGCAAAAATTTCAAATATATTATGATATACCTGTGTAAAAAATTTTATACATTTGTGTCTCTCCTGAAAATGTGTATCATCCTCAGACAAGGAAACTGGGCAACCTGGACAGCGAAAGGTCCATCGAGAAGTCACCTGCATGGGAAAAAAAAGAAAGAAAGAAAGAAAGAAAGAAAGAAAAAAAAAGAGAGAGAAACATAAATACACATTAACAACTGACAAATATGATCAAATATAATGAATGCATGCATGACTCAAAATTTATTGTTTACTCCACTGTTCCTGTTCCACTCCACAGCCATTTTATGAATGGTGTTCATATGTCTCTACATAATTTTGGCTTGCATTGAAGAGCAAGTTCTGGTAGTCTGCCACTGTCCATTCTGTTAAGATGTGATAACTATTCTTCTATACTATATTCTTCCATTTCCAAGTACATATTCCAATATATATAAAATCCATTCCTTTTCTTATGAAGCTCGACCTTTGTATGGAAGTACAACAGTCAATCAGAACAGGTGGTTGGGGCTAGCAGCCTTCAGCCAAACCCCTCAGCTGTTGCTTGGCAGTGGCACAAGACATTTCTGTCCTGAGCAGATCAGTTCAGTAGTGCTGTCACATTTTATCATTTAGCCAAGTAAAATGAGTGGTTTGAAAAATGCTGAAAACTGGTACATAAATAAGGTAGATGAATTAGGTACAGTGTATGATAGTGATATAGAGGACAAATATGACAATGAACATAGCTAGCTCAACCTTTGCCTAATTTCTACTGCCACTTTGCAACACCTCTTGGTACCAGCTCAGCTTTGCAAGAAAAGGAGTGGACTACAGTGCCTTTCATATATCTTCACTTTAATTATGCCTAATCCAGTGCATCCTTCATGTTTCTCATGAATGCCATTTTTGCTATGTTGATCTTAACTATCATCCAAGCAGTGGAAAGAAAATTCTTTATCCAGTCATGGCTTAAGGATGAAATTCACAATGGTAGCAAAAAATGTATTTCCTCTGGAAAAACCTGATAGCCCTGCTTGTGGGGCTAATTCAGAGGATAAGTGGTAGAAAATTTAGAGATAGCAGCACTGGTGAAAGGCACAGTGCAACTTCCCATAGACACAATATTTGTATTGACACAGTCTTCTTAACTTTTGAATCATGAAAACCTGGTATGAACATCACACCATTAGAAGACACACTACTGCACACATCTTAATCTCCAATAATCAATAATTTCAAATGGTTACTGTGTGAACTTCTAGGATGAAAGTGACACTAGCATTACTTAATAGAAAGTCCTAAAATTTGATGTGCATAAAGATCGTAAAAAATGTGCAATCTTTGTTCAGTTACTTTTTGTGGAACATAAATCAACACACAATAGCCCCATGATATCTTCCTGGTATATCTAGCTTTCAGTATGACAGTTATTAGTAATGAACCACTGGAAATATCAAAATTTCTATAGATATTAGACAAAAAATATATTAAAATCTTGTATGAAAATTCTTTCATTATGTTAAGAAATACAAACCTGGCATAGTGTGAAAGGTCGTGACTTTCTTGACAATTTAATGTAGCTGGAATATCTACAAGTCTAAAGTATGCACAGAAATAGGCTTCTTTATGGCTAATGCTCACCAATAATTTGCAACGACTGTAACACACTGTTATTAAGTTAGCACCATCCTTTCACATATACAGATTTAAGATTTTCTTTCACTTAAGGGCCAACTTGACAGTTTCTAACACATTTAACTGTTAATATTTGTTTCTTCAGAATTTATTTCTCAAATAATATCATTACTCTTCCACAAAAACATAAACCTCAGGCAGTACTTACCTTGACTGGTGGCTTCCTTGTGATGTGTGAGATAAGAAAGTTCATTGCAATGTCTTCACAGTTCATGTATTCATCCACTTTGTCTCTTACAGCTTGTGGCAGCCAGTACGAGTAGAGGTACATGTAATACTTGTGAAAGAATGCAGCGCCTGCCAGTTAAATAATAACAATATCTGATGTTAGGTATAACAGAAAAGTAAATATCTCTATGATGGACATGTTTCTAAACATGTTTAAAGATTCTGGTTGTACCTGTTTATAAATGTAGTCATAAGACCACAAAAAATTTCATGGCTTTAATGGGCTAGTAAACTAACTAAACTGACTTAGCTAATTGAGCAACCAACTAATGAAGTAATTCAGTAATCTAACTGATTAATTCCACGGAGCTGAGTCATTGAAAAGCCAATAATTTCTCTGCAAAAAAAATTATCTACATTTTATTGAATCTGAAAATTCATTACCATGTTCAGAACAACCTGTCACTGGTCCCTATCTTGAGCCAGAAGAACCCAGTTGCGCCCCATTCCCAACCAATTCATCTAAAATTCATCTTAATATTGTCCTCCCATCTACATCTATGTCTTCCTAGTAACCAAATTCCTTCAGGTTTTCTGATGAAAATCTGTATGCACCTTCTCTCACATAACTGCAGCTATGCTCCCATGCATGCTATATGCCCTGCCCATCTCACACTCCTTCACTTGATTAATAATACCTGGCCTGGAGTAAAAGCTATGAAGCTCATTACACATTATATCATCCCTCTTAGGTACAAACATTCTCCTTTCAGCATCCTGTTCTTGAACACTCTCAGACTATGTTTGTCCCTTAAAGTGAAAGACAAAGTTTCACACACACACATATATAAAACTAGGGGTAAAATTACAGTTTTGTGTATTTTAATCTTGATATTTTTAAATAGCAGGTAAGAGACCAAAAGGTTATGAACTGAATGGCAGTAAGCATTACCTAAATTTAATTTGCTTGCAATTTTCTTATAAATCAAATTCTGATTTGTCTGTCTTTCTCTTATGATTTTGCTGGTATCCATTACTATTTAAGGGGGTGTGCAGTAGCATAGTTGGTTGAGGCACTGTGCTACAAGCCAGAAGGTTGTGGGTTTAAGTCCCAATGAGGTGGATTTTTTCAAATTACCTAATCTTTACAGCCGCATTATGGCCCTGAGGTTGACTCACCCTCTAACAGAAATGAGTAAAAGGAATCTTCCTGAGGGGTAAAGGGCAGCCAGCGCCTAAGGCTGACAACCTTACCACCATCTGTGAGTCAACTGTTTAGAAGAAGTAGGAGCCTAAACCTCTCATAACATTATGGGCCTCCACAGCCTGTTACAGGGATAACTTCACAATTACTATTTTATCACGAATAAGGCAATGCTATAGCTCAGCAGTTATACACTGGCATCTCACTGCAGAGGCCCAGGTTAAATCCCAAGGTCATCCACATGGGATATGTGTTGGGAAAAGTGGAATGAGACAGGTGTTTCTAAAATCACTGCAGTTTTTCCTTGCCAGTTATGATCCAAATAATGCTCCTTACTCATCTATTTTCAGAAGCTGGTCCAACAGGCCCATTTTAGGCCACAACACCAAAGGACTCAGTCTCACTTAGTTCCCACAACTCAAAAAAGCAACTACTCATATCTAAGAAGTTATACTTGCACTGTGATCATGCCCAAACTTTAGTGACTGTTTTTGCAATCTGATTTCATATTTCAACTACATGTACTATCTTTGTAGTACATGTCATAACAAACTTTTCATTAAACAATACTCATTAAAGAAAATGTACACAGACATGGAAATGCCAATAAACCCATATTTCAGAATATTTGTACTGTATATCTGCAAAAGAATTACATACTGTGAAACAAATAACCTAGGGATTCTGCTACAAACCTGTTAACACCATAGACAGCTCACATGAGTAATTAGAATTGTAGAGCCATCCTCCATTATTGAGGTCCCAGGCATGGAATCTGCCTGGGAAGCCAACTACTCTATCCCGCTGCTCTCGCCAAACCCTGTCATTAGTGATTTAAAAGCAACTATTAAACTGTACACTGAAAGGAAAATATGAATATGGCACCCATGTGAAAATTGTATTTATCTCTTTGTTTAAGAGTGATAATGAGCTAGGATTGTGAAATTTGGTATAGAAATGGATCATAAACATGTCTACAAATTATGTATAAAATAATGTTTGTATGTCAACAATTACATTCATGATAATGATGTGAAACTCTGGAGTGATGTTCAACAAATTTAATTTTGACAGATTCTGTATATAAGTAACAAATTATTCATAAGAATAAAATTAAACAATGGTAACAGTAATAGATCTGTAAAACTAAAAATCCATCCAACAGGGAAGCTGGCTTTATGATCTCTGTTTGGAACTCCTTGTGTTACTATATTATGCAATTCTGCATGAAAAATTAAAATATGTTTTCCATTGAATTTTCTTAAATATACAACAACTAAGCCCATGGAACCGAATTCTTGATGTTACCCCCATTTAAGTAGTCTCTTCCCCCAAAACACGAGTACATTGATGCAACACCTTGTATGAACTTCTCACACCCCTGTCAAAAAGTATTTCAAATCAAAGTTTTAGACCTGTATGAGAGAGATATTCTATGCTACCTGGCAATCTTTTCTATGATGACCGATTTTTAAGAAAAGTGATAAGTTCAATTACAGTAACATGAAAAGCAGTTGTTATACTGGACTAATACAAATCAAAATGAAATTCAGCCAACAACTTTTAGTCAAGATCTCTAATATCAGATGTCATCAAAATCTGTTTAGTAGTTTTGGACAGGAAACATGTGGACACACAGACATACTCCACTGTGTATTATTTTACACACTTCATGCAAAGAGTGAAAAAATAATCTGGTTATAAATGCATGTAAATGGAGGATAGGTTGCCATTTTGCTGGTATGCACATATATTGGGCATAAAATACACACCTGAAACCAAAAACAATTTCATGATGTCGCAGGTGTGTATCATCATCTACTGAAAGCACAGCTTCAGTTTCAATGGCATCATAAGGGAGAAACCTGTTGTTCAAGCTATTTCGACTTGCTTTCACCACCTTTAAAGAAATAAGCAAGTAACAAAGCTAGATATAAACCTTGGATGTACATATTATATATAAAATAAAATGGCTTCAACTTACTTATTCATTCATTTATTTAATTCATCGCTAGCCAACAGTCTTGATTTTCTGTCATGTTTAAATGAACTGAAAATTATTATTCATATTTAAAATAAAATATTTTTAAAATATTGAGTGGAATTATTATCGACAACAAAAATATTTTAAAACAATGGTGTCCAAGATCCTAGGTGAGAGATATCTCTTATCACCTCTGAGCAAGTATTTAACAGTAAACTATGAGCCAATTATCTCATTTTTCATCACTTGATAATGTAAGATTCATACATTAATATCATTACTTTGTAACTATAGGATCCAATGAATGCAGCACTGAAGCATAAGGCTATAATGATTTTACAGCAGCACTGCAGGAAATAACAGAGCAGATACGTGACGACACATTCTTTTACACTTGTTAAATTTTCTTTTGGTCAATAAAATATACTGGATATTCATACTACTGTCACAATAAATAAACAATTTCATTACTTCAGTTCATTTTATTTTAAGAATAATCTGGATAAAGAAAGTGCTTTCACTAGTTTACTCATGTGTGTGTGTGTGTGTGTGTGTGTTTTGCCAGATATACTTAGTTGCAGTACAGTTCCTGGAATGCTTCCTTCAACACAATCTCATCTTTTGTAACCTTGAATATGTAAGATGATTTGTAGAACTCACATGCACAGGGACTCCAATGTCGGGCCAGCGTAAGTCTTCTAAAGGAGGTTTGGGAGAGTTCCATATGACTACAACTTTGTTCAGGTATGGCAGTCCATACAGTCTACTCAAGGAGTTAATCAGTACCTGCAAATTTTACAAATATCTCTTAGCATTTCAGTCAAAGACCAGGTGTTTTGTATGTTTTCTTGTTCTTGTTTTGAGGAAAAATTACAAGTGTTTCAAAATAAAGTATTAAAGAACCTACCTGGACCTAAGGAAGATGCAGTTAAATGGACACTTGACAATATTACTTAAGAAGGAACTTCGTGATTTATACAGATCACCCACTACTGTCAGGATAATGAAATCACAAAGGTTAGAATGGACTAGACATATGACTCAGAATGGAGAAACATGATATGCATACAGAATTTTGATCAGAGGATAACATTAGTTAGTTAGTTATTGGAGAGGGTGGGTTTCCCCATGCACTTAGACCTGTATTGGTCCACTGTGCTTCCCTCTATGATTTCTACTAGTCTCTATATCCTACAGGTACTGGTGCTTACCATCAGTCCGGCCCAGCCAGTGAGACCGGCTCTACTAGCTGAGAGGTATCTATAATGCTTCCCCCATTTACCAGAGGTATTAGAGACTGCTGTTGGGCAGGAAACGTCCGTAATTTGGCTCAGTGACCTCCTTTGGAGATATGAGGTTCTTTTACGTGCCGTAAAGCTATGACACGGGACCCACGGCTTAAAGTCCCTCCCGGAGGACTTGTTCCCTGAATTTTTCCGCCCTTAAAAATTCGACAACCTCCGCCGGGTATTTGAACCCGCGTACTACGAGTCATGAGGTGGGAACGTTACCTCTAGACTACGGAGGCCGCTTGAGGATAACATTAAGATAGATGTCAGTAACTTTTTTAACCAATTAAAAAATAAGACAAAAGCTGTGACATAACCACATTCATACTAACCTGCTCTCGTTCATATGTAAGCATAACAATGGTAAACTGCTCCCTGGGATTGTTTCCTCCAAGATTTTCTGAAAATTCCTTCCCAGCACCACCTGCACCCCTTCCAATTGGACGAAATCCCATTCCAGAGCCTGGAAGAATTACAATTCGGTTACACTTGCAGACAGTACAATAACTAGACAAGTACAGTGGGAAAGGCGGATTAGTGGTTAGTGTTCAAAGGGTTCTCAGTCTGATCCTGATTATTGCCTTTGATATCAGAACAATATAAACATGATAAAAACCTCTCAGCATAATGACAATCACCTGAAGATGAAATTTCCAAAACACTGTGAATATTAAACATATTTCATGATGAGCAATAAAAAAAAACTATTGTTACAGCCCTCAAGAGAATCATGATAATGTTTAATTCATGTGAAAGGTTCTTTATTCCTTTAGTACAAATGTGTATAAGATTAATCTAGCTCTTCTGAAATCCAGTTTTTTATAATTTTTAATTATAATCTCATTAAACAAAATCCCTAAAATGACAAAAGTTTTATTCCTTTTAGTGAGTATTACACGAAAGCAGTGGTAAGACTGAGTCCACATAGTACTGTGGCCTATACTGGCCTATTGTACAGGGTGGGGCGCAGAAACTTCCTTTTTTTTTGAAGGCGAATAAAAGAAAAATTATTGCTGATAGACAAAATTTATGTTTAGCTAATGAAAGAATATACTTTACGAGTAAAGTTTTAAATCATGTAGTTTTAAACAAAATATCTTGAATGTGGTGGCCACCATGCTCTATGCACTGATGCAACCGTTTTCTGAAGTTCCCCTCTGCACGTTCCAGCATGTTTACCAGAATTTGGGCTACTTCCTGCCGAAAAACATTCTTCAGCTGAAGCAGGTTTGTGAGGCGATGTTTAAAAACCTCTGCCTTGAGGTATCCCCATAAAAGAAATCACAGGGCGTTAGATCAGGTGAGTGCGCTACCCACGGATGTCACCTCGAAGCGAGATGAGCCGTCCAGGGAACTTTGCCCTCAAAACTGTCATCAAAGCTCAGGCTGTGTGGCCCATGGCACCATCCCGTTGGAACCAGACATTTTCTAGATGTATTTCTTCAAGAGCTGGTTCGAAAAAGTTTTTAATCATGTCCACATACCGCTGTGAATTGACAGTAACTACATGAGTGCCTTCTTCAAAAAAATAAGGGCCAATAACTCCAACTCTCAACAACACACACCATACTGTCACCTTATCACTGTGAAGTGGCCTCTCATGGAGCTCTCTGGGATTGTTACCACTCCAGTAGCGCATATTCTGGTTGTTGACATATCTGGATAGGTGAAAATGTGACTCATCACTAAAGAAAACAAGTGAATCAGGGGGTAAAGTTTCCAATAACATTTCGCACGCAGTTATTCAGTTCTGGAAATCACGTGGTGACAATTCTTGCACAACAACCATCTTATAGGGATGGAAATGAAGATGTTCGTGAAGAATTCGGCACATTGAATGATTGGATATGTCTAGGGTGACTGCATGTTTGCGAGCGGAGCATCTTGGAGATCTCAAAATCGACTGTCGAATTGCCTCCACGTTTTCTGGCATCGTAACATGCCGTTGTCGTTCTGATGAGTTTTTCACCACACTCCCGGTTGTCCTAAAGTTCTCTACCCGCAAAATAATTGATTTCCGGTCGAGAACTGGACCTCTGGGCTTAATTTCAAAGTGAGTCGGAACGCATGCTGCGCCGCCACGTAAGAATGGTTGTTCGAAAAATAGGCTTCGACAGCTAACGCACACTGCTCACTTGTCCCCCTCATGTTTCCTACTGAGGGGTATCAGACAGAAACTTCCGTGACTGCTGCGTTCACCGAGCCTATCCCCACTTTTCTGTGACCTCCCCTCCCTTCACAATGCGTCTTCACAAAAAGGAAGTTTCTGCGCCCCACCCTGTACTAGCCCCAGACAATAGATGATGGTGACACTGGAGCAATTGGTGGAATGAAGATTGGCAGGGGAAACCGAAGTACTTGGAGAAAACCTGGACCAGTGATTGAGATTACCTCTTTCTAAGGGGCCCAATTGAGTAGGTGTCTTCCTTTCTCACCTGAAGATGGAAACAGATCCACTTTCTGAAACATCGTGTCCTCTGTTACCTAGAATTCTGGACGATGAAAAAAGTTCAAAAACCCAGTAATTCTGTGTCTCATCCACAATCGTCAGAACCCTTTAGAATCTACATGCCACAGCATATTATAATATTGCTTTCCAGCATGTGTTTCAGTAAATGTTGTTCTATACATTGGATAGATTTCTGCTATGATATTGGACAGGGGAGCCAAATGTGATGCCTGTTCTAGGTTTGTAAAAGTTGTTGTATTGAAAATAATTTTGACTTAAAATAGTCTTCAAAATGTTTATCATTTCGTAGATGATGTGTTTATCTATATTACAGACTGTGAGGAGTTTTTTTTAGAAATGTTTAGCCTCTAGTGGTTAGTTACTGGTTAGAGATCCAGAGGTCCCAGTTTCGATTCCCGGCGGTACCAAATTTTCTGAGAAATAGTGGGTCTGGAACGAGGTCCACTCAGCCTTGTGAGGATAACTGAGGAGCTATTTCATGGAAATAACGGCTCCAGTCTGGAAAACTGAGATTAACGGCCATGGGGATCTGTTACGCTGACCATGCGACATCCTGTATCTGTAAAAGCAGGCACTAACTTCACTGATAAGCGGTGCTTGCTCAGTCAGTATAGTTCGCTTGCAGACTATGGGCCATGGAATTTTTATGTTTAGAGTTTCCTTAATGAGTTTCACAACTTGTACTCTTCTCCAAGTATAATTAGAATGATCAAGTCAAGGAGGATGAGGTGGGCAGGGCATGTACACGTAGCACAAATGGGGGAGACAAGGAATGTGTATAGGATTCATTCACTCATTCATCAGTAATCTGTCAGACGACAGGTCCACAGTCTCTTCCAAAACAGTTCCTCCACTTAATGTGATCTTCTGTTTTTGGAAAGAGTGGATATTGGTGAGAAAGCCAGAAGGGAAGAGCCACTGGGAAGACCAAGGCGTATATTAAATTGGATTAAAATGGATTAAAATGGATCTTAGACAAAGGATGGGATGGTATGGATTGGATTGATCTGGCTCAGGATGGGGACCAGTTGCCGGCCCTTTGAACACAGTAATGAACCTTTGCGTTCCATAAAACGCTGGGATTTTCTTGAGTAGCTGCAGAATTGGCAGCTTCTCCAGAAGGGCTCAGCTCCATGAGTGAGAAAGTAAGTAAGTAAGTAAGTAAGTAAGTAAGAGTTTCCTTAACAGGGACACTGACATAAAAATATTTTATGTCGAGTGTTAGGAATCTGTATTCTGTGTTTAGATGAAATTCATTAACATCTTCTGCAAATGTAGTGGAGGTGATACTCTTGAATTTGTATTTTATTACTACAAGTTCCTTTAGTTTATGTTGTATGTGTTCAGCTAACTTGTAAAATGGGCCATTAATACAGTACTCAATTAATACTCAAGGTAGTCACCACCATAATTGACGCACTTGTATCGGGAAATAAGTTTTTGTATGCTTGTGTTAAAGAAGTCTGCCACCTGTGAGCTCGGCCATGTTTTGAGACCTTCCATCATCTCCTCATTACTGCTGAAGCACTGTGATTGCAACCAGTTCTTCAGGTAGGCAAACAGGTGGTAGTCACCTGAAGTGAGATCAGGGCTCTAATGAGGCTTGTCAAACAACTCGCAGTTGAAATGCTCCAGCAGTGCTCGAGTGTGAGCAGCTGTATGCAGACAAGCATTGTCATGAAGAAGCACTACACCAGATGATCTGAATTGCCATACATAGTTTTTTTTTAGTGTTTTGCAATATGCTTCTGACATTACTGTGGTCCCTTACTGCAAGAGTTCCACCATCAGTACCCCTTTCCTGTCCCAGAAAACAGGTGCCATCATCTTTCTGGCAAGCAGATGTTGGTTTAAACTTTTTCAGCTTGTTTGGTGAATGTGTGTGCATCCACGGCTTTGACTGCTTTTTGGTTTCAGCATTTAAAAATGAAACCCAGGTTTCATCACCTGTTATTTGTACAATGTGATTGAGAAATTCATCACCATCTTTGTGGTACTGCTTTAAAAAAGTCAAAGCCGAACATATTCTCTACATTTTGTGTGCACCCATGAGCATTTCTGAAACCCATCTTGTGCAAAACTTGTGACAGCCTAGCCTAACTGTAATAATCTTGTAGAGAACGGTGCATGAAATTTGTGGAAATTCACATGAAAGTTATGAAATTGTGAAGCGCCATGTTTCACAAATTTTTTGATCAACACTTTGAATGAGATCACACACTACTGATGGCTCACCACTTCACNTAGCCTAGCCTAACTGTAATAATCTTGTAGAGAACACTTTGAATGAGATCACACACTACTGATGGCTCACCACTTCACTCTTCATCAGAAACAATTGTTCACCCATCTTTGAACATTCCACACCATTGTCTTACAGTTCCTTCACTCATTACATTCTGGCCACAAACCGCACATATATCACGATGGATTTCTGCAGCACTCATGTTTTTAGCAGGAAGAAATTGGATAACAGTGTGAATTTCACAGCTGGTAGGATTTTCAATTGCAGGACACATCATAACTCTGTGTAGAGACAAGAACAAACACTAGGTGACCAGTTGTGATGGCTTACAAGGCAATGAGTCATGTGACAAGATCTCCCCTGCTCCTACAATAATGGCCTAAAATAAATGGAAGTTACTTTCTCTATAGCCCTCATACTTGCAAATATAAACGTGTATTTACTTCTGATTAACTAAGAAGTTTTATCTTTGGCTACAATTCTAAGATATAAGATTCTTATATATACATATGTATTGCAAATATGTATAGTGTTTCCAATTAATGTTGATGAAACCTCTGACAATGGCCAGGACAGGCTGAAACATGTAACGTAATTCCTGTATTCACAGAAAACTAGTCACATCTGAAGAAATATATACTTTTTATATACATAAGAAATTCATGTTTCGATATGCTTATGAGTTCTCTTGTGTGCTAACTTCACTACATACCAACAAATTTTGCATCAGATGGCAGAAGTACATCAAAGGGTAACTGCGGGTAGAGTCGAAATGGGTCACCCCAATCATTCCACATCTCATGACCCTGAAATCATAATGCACACTCAGTTACGGTGGATTAAAAACTGTCAAAAGATGCATTACTTCCTTTTACCAAAGATTTTTATGTATGGATCATTTAATGATGCTGTCAATAGCTCAGACTTATACTGTGTTGAAAATGAGAGAGTTATTAATGTATAATGAGATGGAAAAAATGTGGAAGGAAACAGCTGTGATCTAATTTGAATTACTATCCCAGAAACTAAATGGAACTGAAGAAACCCTTGAAAAACCACATCCAGGAACCTATCCACTTGACTGTGTTGTTTGGTCTTTTGTTAAAGAAAGGAGCAGTTATAATTGAACAATTCCCTCTATATCCACAACCACATGACTCAGTGCAGTAGCTTGGAAAATAGTGGGTGCCAGGTTGACAGTCACAAAGAAAAAAAATGTGTTTGTCGTGTTGAATGATTATCTAAATGTGTTTTGAAATTATCTTCACAAAACTGTATTTACTGCAATTTTATAGCAAGTGTTGATAAAGGTGTCCTACAATATTCAAACTCATTTCCTAATTGTTACAACACTGTGGAACATGGCAGATAGGTGCAGCAGTAATGCTTTAGACTTGTATTCGGGAGGTCCTCAGTTTCAGTTCTTGGTCAGGATATTGGTTATTCAGACTTAGGTTTTTGTGGTTATCCTCAGTCTCTCCAAGTGAATGCTAGAATAGAACCCTCATTTTGTCACAGCTGCTTAACTTAATGATTCATACTTTTTCTCTTGGATAGGCAAATAAACTGAAAAATCATCTAGTTAAGTTTCAGTAACACGAATATTTCAGTATTTCATACAATAAATATCTTAATAGCTTACTATACAGCCATGATCGTACGTAATATATCCTTACAACGAACTTCAAGTTAGTTATAATTACCAGCCAGACTCCACCCATTTGCATGAAACATACTGCAAACCTACAGGTGAGAAATTTTGTTACATGATTAGTAAATTCCAGTTGTGTTTCTGGAATGTGGTCTATAATAAATGCAGCAAAACAATGCCTCTGTAGAATGGAAGATTTCTGGCAGGAAACTCAATGACACTATTATGAAGAAATATCAGTCACATTCAATAGAGTTTTATATATACAACCATAAAACTGAAAACAAAAATTTTACTTCCACACAAGGGCAGCAAGCCCTTTGTACTCCGATGCATGTCAACTTCCAGACTCCACATGCTTGTTGTTTATAAAAGTAGATGTGTTGAACCGGTGTTCGCTGAATGAAAACGTGTTACGTACATATACAGTTGGTAATCTGCAAGCTGTCAGAATCAGCCATCAATGGCAGTACAGTTTTATAATATAGAAATACTTCTTCTCTGTTCCCTAAACTCAGATTTACTCCATACAGTCTGACAGTATAAATTGAATGTACAGGTGAGTCACAGAATAAGGCAACAAACCTGTGTTAGGAAAACTGTATAGTTGCGCTTATAGCTTGGTGAAGGATAAGGTGGTTCAATTGGGCCAAGACTCTCTTCTGGTTCTGTTTCTGATACCACTGCTTCAGTTCTCAGAGGCTGCCAAATGAAATAAAGACTGGATTAAGACAAGTTGGAACCAAATGTAGAGAATGGCACAATCTGCAGGTGATCAAGAGCTTACAGTTGTTCATACATACTGCTTCAGGACCTTTCTTAAAAAGTTTTTAATTGTTCAGCTAATCAGGAATTCTTCAAATCAGTCTTTATTATATTCACAAAAGCCTATCATCTGACTTTATCCATCAGAAAAATTTTGTGTATGGTCACCTAATTAGGCAACAAGAGAGGGCAGTTACTTGCGGTGTCTAAGCATGGGGCTTTCAGGCTCACTGATTCATGATCAGTGAAACAGCAGTGGATTTTCTGAAGATCAGTGTCTTGCCTGTTCACACCGTACAGTGCAGATAACAACAAAGTCTGTTCACTATTATAATGTATGAATTATTCATTTACAACATAAAATTAACCTGTTTAAATAGTATTAAAATCAAAGAGACTTCAATGTCAGTACAGTAACCTTTCTTGTGCAGGAACAAGGGATTTTAAAACCCCTAGTATTAGGGCATGTGAGAGTGGCCAGGTGGACCACACACATGCACTGTTACAACAGTCCCGTATACATTGCCAATAAAAACTAAATATATTAAAATTAGTACATCGTGGCATGTTCACTGAAAGCTGGAATAGTTTAATCAGAAGAGATGTCCATTACTAGGTTAGGGCACAATAAACAGTGATGAAACAATGGAATATGTCACAACATGCAATGTAACCAACTAAGTACTGATGGGAATGAAGTGCTCTATGGGCCCACTCCAATAGTGATGTCATGTAACAATTGAGGAATTGTGGGAAGCAGTGTTTTCTGTTGGGTCTGTCCTGAAGTTTTATCATGAGGACCAATAGGATGAGCCAATCAGGAGAGTGACTGAGTGGAGAGTCAAGAGTGGAGTATCTGAGTCAGTGAGTCAGCGTAGATACACGTACAGACGAGAGGAGAGAAAAAAACTATTCATCAGGATTGAGGAGATGAGTGGAGACATTAGAATTCGTGCATTCAAGGGAGATTCAATAGTGATTAGTAAGTGAACTACACCAGGTCTTGACTGGAATTAGTGAACTGAACAAACGTGCAATGGACAGAGTGGTTATACGGACTTCAAGTTATGTAGTGTGGTCATGGTCAACTCCTGTTTGGCAAAAGGGGTATCGGTGAAATTTGCCGCCCGGCTGAGGCTGTGCGCAGTGCTCTGCGAAGCAACAAAGAAACAGTATATCTGAGTATACACCAAGATGGTGGAAGTTCCAGAACCGGGATTCTGGAAATACTGGAGACTGGAGCTATCAACGCTGAAATCTGAATGTCATGCCATAACGAACAAGAACCCAGAAACAGCTTCTGTTGTACAACAGGTACAAAAAGTAGTCAGTGCCATTGAAACCCTTACCAAATGCACACCAACTAGAGTGGGAGAAAGCTCTCAGTGGAAATCTATTGTAAATAGTGTGGAGACCAGAGCAAAATTTTGCAAGCTTTTAAATGGGAAGCTGCTTTTCAGCGCTCTCTACGGCATGTACAAGGTAACATTGAAAGAACTGCAGGACGTCTTGAAGGTGAAAGCACAGGGAGGACAAAATGGAGCAATGAACAAAACCTCACTGGAATTATAATCGTCCAATGCCGCCCTCCATTTATTTTTTTTTATTTTTATTTAGTTATGAGTATTATAAAATAGTAGGTTACATTAAGGAATAGTAGATGGACATAGACCTGTTTATGTATTTAGGTGGTTAAACAATTAGTTTTAACACACATGCAAGAGCCAGGCAGGAAGACTCCCTGCTGAGACTCCTTCGGATAGCTGGAATGGCAGGAAGCGACCATGTCGAGAATTGTGAGATGACAAGCGTGAAGGGT